TAGGGGTTGGGAGCCAGTATTTTCGTAACTTGCTGCAATTTGCACCAGTCTACTAATTATTATGAAATTTAATGCATGAATTATAATTCGTAAACACAAAAAATGTTACTTGGGCTGTTATGATTCTATTTCAACTCGCAATACAAACACTTTTCGAGCTTCAAAAATGCCCTATTCTGCATTAAATCGTGAATGACTTTTATTTTTCAGCGAAACAAACAAAAATATACCAATTTGCTTACCATTTCTGGCTCAATTCAGCGTTTTATATGTAAAATCTTCATTTTGAGTGAATTTTTCAATGAAAAAGTCGATTTGAGACCAAAATATAAGAAAATGGGTATTTTATTGTTCACAGACCCTCATTATTTTCGAAAATAAATAGGAGTTTTCTAACATAAAAGTATCGAATTACGCATGTTTGAGGTACCTCCCCGACAAAATGAACGTTTTTCAGACCAATTCCTATATAAAACGCTGAATTGAGCAGGCTTTGTTATGCGCTAAATCCATCACGCTGAATAAATTCATGCGATAGATTTGTGCGATAAATGTGATGCGCTCGCTTCGCGATGCGTTCACTTCAAAGCATGAACGTTCATGCGTGAACAACTGAAGAGCAACAGACTTCGTTCATCGCAAAGCGAGCGCATCACATTTATCGCATAAATCTATTGTATGAATTTATTCAGCGTGATGGATTTAGCGCATAACAAAGCTTGGAATTGAGCCAAAAGTGGTAAGCAAAATGGTATATTTTTGTTTTTTTTTTTTGCTGAAAAATAAAAGCCATTCACGATTGAATGCAGAATAGGGCATTTTTGAAGCAAGAAAGTATTTGTATTGCGAGTTGAAAACATACTCTGAAGCAGGGACATTTTTCGATCTTTCAAGCCCCTCAGGCAGGGTTGAGATAAGTCTAAATCGATTTATCATCCAAAATTACGTGAAAATAGACTCGCAACAGTCCATTATAGGTGAGTTCTCAATGCCATAAATGTGATTTTGTATGCAGATTTCAACCATTCGTTTGTCCTATGAAGAGATGTCGGTTTCAGACCAAATTTATAGGTAAACCGATGTGCAAAAGGTCATATTTTCATGTATTCTGGCAAAAAATAGCGGTTTTCTCAGATCAAAACACCGTAGGAGGCCAAAATAAGATATGAATCACCTGCCGACGTCAATTACACGAACTGAATGAGGTGTATACACGAAATTTTATTTTTCTATCTGAATCGGCGTGACATAGGCGCAAAAAACGTGCCAGAAAAACCCCATGTTTTTTACTTTTTTCACATTTTATACTTTGAACCCATTTTTCGGGGCCCCAATGGGGTCGAATGGGGTAGGTAACTTTGCGGTTTTTGTAGCCCCATCAATTCCATACCGTAGGTTTGCCAATGTGTCAACTACTTCTCAGTTCGATTTCAGTTGGCGCAAACCCATTTTTTCGATTTTTTCAATTTTTTGCAAAATTCACACTGGGTGAACTCAGAACAATGTGGACCACTTACAGCTCTAAGATTTTGGTTTTCTCATTTTCTATCGAAAACAAGATTCCAAGCTCCATTACAACTCTTCTCTGATTTCGTGTGGAATTGCCGATTCATTTATGTGCTTTCGACATGAAAATTAAGAATGATTAACCGTCGAAATCTTCTGCATCGTCACCATCATCTGGAAGGCGGTTTTCACAAGTAAATTTTTGGCATACTTTTTGGCACAACAATTTTCCACCTGAATATATGAAAAGAAGCGATATATTCACTTTAAAATGTCATGTTATTGCTTTTAACAAGATATTTCATCATAAAAATAGTGTCTCAGTTGCATACAAAGAAAATGTTGGGTGGCTCGTTTGAGACGACAAAAGTGAACCGTTTGAGCCAAAACACGCCATTTTTGCATGACGGCACAACAAATTTCTATGATGAAATAACATCAAAATCGACTTTATACACTGAAAATATGCACTTTCTACAACACGTATGATATATTTACCTTCAAAAATTACCAAGAAAATATCACACAATGGTTGTCGGCAAAATGCACTAAAAACGTTTATTCAGAAAATTTTGACAGTAATTTTTTTTTATCACTTTACTCTTCGAAATACCACTAAAACTTAGCTGCCGATGAATCATTAACATGACGCTGATCGGTTTGACGTTTATATGTCAACTGCCAAAAATTTCGGTGGTGGCCCGTTTGAGACGACATTCCCTTATAATTTTGTAATTTTGGGGTAGTATATTGTATAAATACACAAATCAAGTGCAGCAACCACCTACTTCACCCAAAATAACGGTAATTTTAAATCGTTCCATCAGTCTACTCAGTCACGGTCTTCTTTCATTTTTTTTCTATTTAGTACAATTTTAGTACAGGTTTAGTACAATCTCAGTACGTATAGATCCAGAGAGAATTTTTGGTTGTTTTTCAGATATATAAAATTTTGAAAAAGTTCTGTTATTTTGAGTGAAGTAGGTGGTTGCCGCACTTGATTTTGCGTATCTATATAATATACTACCCCAAAATTATAATGTATATTAAAAAAATGAATCGATTTCGTCATGTTTCAGTAAAGTAAAGATGCGCCCTATCACACATCACCGTCAACAGGAAAACGTAGGTGCGATGTTCGTCACATATTTCTTATTCATTCAAATAAGAAAACTATGAAAATAAAACAAAGTGAAAGAGAGAGAGAGAGAGAGAGAGAGAGAGAGAGAGAGAGAGAGAGAGA